GAGCACTCCATTCTTTGTGGGTGGTTGGAAAAGACTCCACAGAAGGAGTGCCATTTGAGAAAGAATGTAAAAAGATAGTAGGAGGTGGCCAGTAAGAAACATAATTAAATACACAAATAAGTCAACATGAAAAGACAAACTGTTATGTAGAGGAATGTAGCTAGTACTGCTGATTATGTACCTAATATAAAAACTCTGCTTCCTGCTTGCTAATAGAATCCTGATTTTGTTCAGAGTGGCACCCAGCCAAGTACTCCCTTATTCAGGCTTTAGAGTAGCTAGGGATGAATGGCCAAAGTTATGGCCACAATGACGGCCAAAGAAATGTAAACAAAAATCTGATGAAAGTCTTTGAGATGCCTTCTTTTCTAACAAGATGGTCGAAATGCAACTGAAACCATTTCTACATTATTCAAGCCTTGATTATGAACATTATGGCTAAAATTGCATCAGCTTACATGTGACAATGAGTTAAAGGCCAAGAAAACCAGAGAGGTGTGTGCCCTACACCTGTACCTGATGACTCAGCAAGCACCTATCTTTAGATTTATTATAATATCAGAAAGATAACACCTTCTTTGTTTATTTAAATCACGGTGGCCAAGTTTTCTTTCTTTCATTCATTCTTTCTTTTTTTTTTACTTGCAGCAGGAAGTATTTCTAAGTGACATGAAAAGACAGAGGATTCACTTGAGATGTACTAATTAAATAGAATCATAGCCTAATGGCACTTAAAAGATCCTAAGAAATCACATTGACCAACATGTATGTTTTACATCTGAGGACACTGAAGTCTAGAATGTTAAGTGACCCACAGTTAGGGACAGAGTCTGCATCTTCTAACACCCAGTAGCTATCTGATCGGCTTTAACCACCAATTTATAGATACTCATTGAATGCCAACTATATGCAAGAGTATTACACTAGATTCTATAATAACATTCTAATTTTTGTAGGTCACTTTACTTTTTCTGAAGGATTTTCATATGTATCATCTCAGTTGACCCTTACATCAGTTCTATTGAAAGTATCAGGGTAGGCATTAGTCTGCTTATTTTACAGACTGGACAATTTAAGCACTAACAAACAGTAGCATGCCTAAGATAACAAAGAAATTCAATGGTATACTTTAAACAAGGAAGAAATTTTTTCTGCTTTTAATTTTATGTAAATTAATCATTAAAAGCAAATTACTCTCTAACAACATAAATTATTTTTCTACCAATTTTAAATTGTTGATATAGCACTGAAGAATAGTCACCTAAAAGTATTTAATTTAAAAAAATGCAAGTCTTTTGTCATCTATTCCTAGTAAGAAACCATTTCAGAAAGGCTAATGCTATCTTGTACATATGTTTATCTAGGATTTTCTATCTGATGTCTAACACTGGTATGGGCAGGTGGGCAGGTATGTTTTTTGTTGGAAGGGAAGAGGGAGTTCATTAACTTCTAGAATAGGATGGCACACTGTATTTGGGAGGCATACAAATGATTTTTTCCTTTCTTGTTGCAAGTAGGATCTCTCATTTCTCCATCAAAACTGTTCAACAAACTTGAGAATATGATTGAAAAATGCATATTCACTAATAAATTATTAGTCTGGGGGTGGGGAACAATTTCTATAAATGTATAAAAGGAAATTTTTTTATATAACAAGCTCACTTTTAAATTTATTTCACCAATAAATAGTCTCCCTCCCTTTCAATAAATCAACTTGTGCTTAAATACCTGTATATTATGCCTTCTTCATCCTTCAAAACATTTTCATGAAGTATTTGAGACTTTACCTCTAAGGGGCATACATACTTGTGTTTCGCTGTTTTTGCTCATAGTAGCAAAAGCAATGATTGTATATTGAAAGGAGCAACTTTCCTTACTTGAATGTAAAACTAGCGAAATAACAATCTGCACATTTCTCTCATTTTAGTATTATTTTGTAAGCTGAAGAAGGTTCCACATATAAAAGAAAAAATAAATACAGGCAAGGAGGAGAAAGTAGATATGTTAATGTGTTTCCTTCCATTATTCAAGAGAGTCCTGACAAACTTATTTGAC